TCCAGGATCATGACCTGAGCCGAAGGCAGTGGCTTAACCAACTGAGCCACCCGGACGCCCCCAATTTTTCCTTTTCCTTTAATGTTTTGACATGGATTTGCATGCTGTTTTATGATACCTTAAAAATTGTACCACTACTAACATTTTCTAAATTAATATCCTTAGAACACTTGGTCCATAGTAATCTGAACAATGTCAATGACCCCCTAATGTTCAACTCAACAGACTCTATTTTCAGGTCCCCAAAATGTCAGTAAAAATGGCCAAAGCAAATTTACTATATAAAGGAGAGAGGGGAATTCATGGAAAAGATAATGAAGATGAATAGTTTGGGGATTAAGATAAATCATTTCACTTTCTATTAAAGCTAAGGTTATCAGTAAATATAATTCCTTTTATTTTTGAAACTGGTATAAATTGATCATTTTATTCCATTCTATCAATGATCTTTTCCGGCTTCTTTTTAAGAGTTCTCAAATATGCGAGCTTTGTTTTTTGTTTAAGTTTAGTGTCCACTAATCTCGTTTCCATCCAGTTAGGAAACAGGTTTTTAAGTTGCCCTAAGAGCTCCAGTTGAGAATGCAGAGTCATTCCCCACTTGCTCCCTTGTACTTCCCCAGTAACTGTGACTCTGTTCTTAGTTTCTGGCATGATATCTGGCACAGAGGAAGTGCTCAGTTAGTATTTCTTCAAAGTAAAAACCAGAGGTGACACCATGTTTAGGAAACAAATATAACACAAGCATTTACAGTCCATGGGCAGACAACTGGTACGGTGCTTTTATGCAGTTTTTTTTTTTTTTTTTTTTAAGTATTTACTCATACTGCTAAAACCAACTCTTGCTGTTGATGATTCTCTACCAACCACCTTATTCCACCTTATTCAAGTCTGAACTGCTTTGAGGCCTCCGAGAAAGCAGGGATACCCTGCCCGTTTGTTATGCTTGTCTCATGTCCACCTCTTCCCAGTGCTCGGACTTAATCCTTTCTTTGGTCTGTAACCTGTCCCATTCTTTTCAGTAATCGGCCAAACGACTGGTATGGTGGGTAGGCTCTAAGATGGTGCCTGTGACTCTTGCCTCCTGGTCTCCTTGCCATCATCCTGAGTATGAGTAGACCCTGTGACTCACTTCTAACCAACAGAATGTGTCAAAGGGGGCAAAATACCACTTCCATGATTATGTTACCTAAGACTGTGACCCCTGTCTTGCTAGCAGCCTCCATTAACTCTCTTGCTGGCTCTGATGGAGGAAGCCGCCATACAGAAAGGCCTTTTGTCAGAATAAGAGTGCTATTGGTTTCTATCGCTACATAACAAATTATTGTAAACTTAGGGGATTAAAACTACATATATTTATTACCTCATAATTTTCATGGGTCAGGAGCCTGGGCAGTGCTGAGCTGTGTCCTCTGCTCGGGGCCTCACAGGGCTGCAGTCAGGGTGTCAGCCAGGGCTACGGCTTAATCTGAGGATTGGGTTCCTCTTCCAACCTCACTGGTTATTCGCAGAATTCAGTGCCTTGCAGTTGGAGGATGGAGGCCCTCACATCCTGGAGGCTTCCCACCATTCCCTGGTACATGGCCCTGTCTGTAACAGGGCACTTTGCTTCTTCAAAGCCGGCAGGAGAGCATCGCCACTGCTTTGAATTGCTCCGACTTCTTCCATGTCTGACCTCTAGAGCCTCTTTGAAAGGGCTCACCTGATTAGGTCAGACCCATCTAGGATTATTTCCCTTTTGCTTAAAGTTAACTGATTAGGAATTTTAATTACATCTGCAAAACATCTCATCTCTCCCACATAATGGAACCGAAGCAACGGCGTGGTATTTCATCATCTTCACGGTTCCTGCCCACACTCAAGGGGAAGGGAGTATTCAGGGCAAGCATAGCCCTGAGGGAAACCGTGGGGGCCATCTTAGAATCCCGCCCGCCACAACTGGGGTGTCTTAGTACTGTCAGTGAGCTGCTTGCGGTCTATAGCCTACGGCTCGGTGAAGTCTTTTTGCAATACTGCGCTAGTGCTAGAGCGGCAACAGCACGATCAGAACTCCCTAAATGTAGTATTTACACAGGAGACTATTTTGTAAGATTTCAAGATCGCATCTACTCTAGACTAACACCCCTCTGCGTGAAACACAAGAATGGAGTTTCTTTTCCTGTCTGCAAATGGGGCAATGGTCACCGTGAGTGAAGAACAAGTGTGTTAGCCGGGAGCTGGAATGGTGAGAACGAGGGCGGCGTGCCCCACTGAGTGGGCAGGATCCGTGAGCGCAGGACGGCAGCGGTTCTGTCGGAGTACACCTAGCAGCCTTACGCTTCCGATCCCTGCGGCAGGGGGCTGGGCCATGGGGCCAGCCCGGCTACGGACAGCTGCAGCGAGCAAGCCTGGCTGTGTCTGGTCGGGCCAGAGGCCGAGCTGTGGCAGGTGAAACACTCCAGATCATACCACAGAATCTGCCGCATTTCCGTGCCACGTCGCCTCCCTAAAGCAGACTGGGAGGCAAAGAAATTTCGAGTTTCTCCACGAAGATGTACTGCTTACAGGGTGGCCCTGATATTTTCTTTACTCAGAGGTAAATGAAGTTTGTGTCTCGCAATATTTTCAACATAAACAGATTTTTTTGGCCCCCGTTCTGTGAACTGACAGAGAATTCCAAGTACCTCTACATTTTATTCATACTCATACATTTAAACAGTGGAAACGACCAGATATAGTTTATTAAAATGTTCATTAAAAACAGTTTTGACTCAGTTTTTTAAAATTGCAAATACATTAAAAACTGTTACAGTGTCATGAGATTGCAAATGTTGCCTTATGAAATTATAAAGAATTTGTTTAGTAAAAACTATGAAATATTTTAATTTAAACTTCACATATAAAAATATATATTTTATTGCAACACTGAACAGTCAAGGTCACAACACTTGAAGGAGAGTTTGAGATACACATATTTTAAAATTGCTTGTCAAAAATATTAGCATAAATAAATACCAAAACTGGTCGTAATATTCAAACCAAATAAAACATATTATTAAACTTGTGTCTTTAAAAGTTTGTTATCAGAAACTTTCCTTCAGAAGTCAAACTGTTTTTCAAGTATAAATTACAATGTGCTTGGTGACCACGGAAACATAAATATATATTTATAGTATCGTACATGATTTTGACCTTCTCTCCATATTTGGGGGTGAAGTATCCTGATGATTTTGCCCCATGTGGTTCTGGTTGGCATCTTTCTTACTTCTTTTAAAAGCTATTTGATCTCCTATTGGTTTTATCTCTGGGAGTGGCTCATTATTACTCTGCATACTTTTCTGACTCGTCAATGACATCCTTTTAAAGAGGAAAATCTAGAAAAAAACCCACACAAAGAATTCATTTCAGTAAGTGAATAGTCACTTAATAGTATTTAGGGGGTATAATTTTCAACTAGTCTTAACATTATTTCATCACATCTTTACGGGGCACCATATGTACAAAGGTACACTCTCAGTGTCCATCAGCCTCTTCTTTTACCAATGGCAATCATGCTTCCTCCCCGAAACAAGACCTTTCAGGGTTTAACTTTCAACACTATCTCAGTGCCTTGGTAATACATTATCATTTTTCTTCAAAGAGCAAATTCAGCATTTCACTTTGTTGTGTTGTTAAGAGAAAAAAAGATGAAAACTAGGATATTCTGGAGGAGGACAGACCTCCCGTTCCTATAGATCAGAACTTCTGGCAAAATGTTAGCGCTGCCAAATGATGGCTTTGGGAGCCCCAGGGGTCTGACTAGGCAGGTGGATATATGGATCTGCTGCTCAGGGGAGGCCGGGGCTGTGAACAGGCAGATAACAGCCGGACAGAGGAAAGCAGATGCCACAACCCAGGGACTGCAGGCAGGCAGAAAGGAGAACAGAAGAAAAGAGACTGAGGGAGAGCCAAGTGTGAGATGCAGGCAGAGGAGTGAGCACTGGGGACAGAGCTTTGTAGAAACAAGATCAGGAAAGAGAGGCACCTCAGAACTGAGGGAGGAAAACGTGTTAAGAATGGAGTGCTCAATAGGGTACATACAGGAGAATTTGAGAAAGAGGACGATGGAAAAGTCCCATGGGATTTTAGCCCTTTAGAGGATGTAGCCAGATAAAATAAGATTCCTGAAGAGTGACAACACATACATACGTTGGTTTTGACAAGATGCCAAAAACGAAAAAAGCAGGTGAGGACTTGGCTCCTTTGGAAACCAAAATGATGTGAATAATAGCTGGCCTTTAGTCTTTAAAGAATGGAGGAACTCAAGTGAAAAGTGGCGACCCAAAAAGTCAGAGTCTAGAAAAAGGGTCTGTGGGCTACAGTGGAGGAACTCCTGTTTCATTTCTGCTATTGTGGAGGAATCTGTATCTTGAAAAATTCTGCTACTACAAAATACCAAGAAATGCTAAGTGCAAAAAACATAATTTTATAATGTGTAAGTAAGTTCACAAAAACAAAATGAAGGAAAATCCCTGTGGGCCAACAAATGAAGAGGGAGCAGGAAACCTCAGAGGCGAGGGAGGAATGAAATGGCATTTATTGATCTCACAACTTAGACTCATTTTGTTAATGTATATTTGATCTCATAAAATGTGGAAACTTGGTACTGAGACCCCTCCACAAAGTAGGGACCCTCTAAGAACTATGCCCTTAATGTAAGTCCACCTACAAACATTGGGAGATGACAAAATACCATGGCTCTCCTGGTCTATGCTTTGAGTGAAGGAGAACCATGTTTTCCTAATGAGAGGCTGGGGTTCCCATTTACTTTACTGGTGTAGGTGGGAAAGCCCTAACTGAGAAATTAACTGAAAGTGGTCCTGGAATGGTAACACCCAGGGGAGCTAACAGAGGCTAATACAAATTCTCTATGGATGGATATGCCTTAATGTAAGTCTTAAAGGGGTTCCACAAAAAGTCCCAGTTGAACATGCACTCACAATCCGAATTTCAAAACACATAAGGAAACAAGATAGTACTAGCAAGTCAACCAGAGCAACAAACAGATTTAGATTGCTAAGGATGTCTGACATTGGAATAACTAAATATACAATATAAAATAAGTACGTTTAAATTATTTAAAGGACCAGAATAAAAAATACGAGCACAAAACAAGATACTAGTTTTTAAATGATTGATTTGAAAAAGAATCAAAATAGAATTTCACTTCAAAATGTGAAAAATATAATCACTGAAATAAAAATGCAACAGGTAGGTTGAAAAGATTAGTCTCAGCTGTAAGGAAACTATGGAATCAAAGAGCTCTGAAATATGAAAGCTCTGAAATTCCCTGAAATATTACTTAGACGTGGACAACGGGAAAGTAACATTAAAAGACATGGATAAAAGAATGAAAAGTTTTGTATCAGAATTCCAAAGAGGAGAGAGGAAACATTCAAATATATAATGGATGAGAATTTTCTTAAACCGATGAATGACTTGAATTCTCAGATTCAAGAGTCATAATGAATTAGAAGAAAGTTAAAGCAAAAAAATTCCCATCTAGGCATCTCGTAGTGAACTGAAGTACATCAAAGATAAACAATGTAAAAAAACCAGCCAGGGAGAAATGATAGATTATATACAAAGTTATCAGCAATTATACTAAAGCAAATTTCTTAATAGGAACAATGGGAGCAGATATCAAGAGAAAAATAACTGCCAACCAGCCATACGATCATTCATTTGCAAGTGAACAGAAACTAAAAAAGTTAACTACAAAAAGAAATCTATGACAGGAACTTCCAAAGGATTTCTTCAGGGAGAAGAAAAAGGATCCCAAGAAGGATATCTGAGATGTAAAACGGAATTGTGAGTAAGAAAGTGGTATAACAAATAATAGTAACATTTGATTGGTGAGGCCAAAAAATTAAAATACTGGATACAATAATATGTAAAATGGAAAGGAAGGGGTGATAGGAGAGAAAACTCTTCTAAGATCTTGGTATTACTTGAGGAAAAGACAGGAACATTAACTAGCTTTAGATTTTAGGTACGTATGTTAAAAAATTTAAAGACAAAATCCAGCTTATAGGCCATCTACAAGAGACTCATCTAAAACACAAGTAAAAGAATGAAAAAAGATGTATCGAAGTGCTAATCAAAGGAAAGCTAGTACAGCTCTATTAATAACAGATATACTTTAGCATTTTTTAGAGATAATGAAGAATACAAATAGTAAGATGATAGATTTAAATGTAACTGCATTAATGATCAGATTAAATATAAATGGGCTAAATGCTCCAATGAAAAGACAGGGATTTTCAGATTAGATAAAAAAAGCAAAACCCATCTTTTTGTTGCCTAAATCAAATGCACTTCAAATACAAAATCACAAATGAATTAAAAGTAAAAAGATGGAAAAAGACATATAACTCTAATCAAAAGAAAGCTAAAGTGGCTATGCAATATCAGACCAAGCAGATTTCAGAGCAAATATTATCAGGGATAAAGAAGTCATTTCATGATAAAGGCGTCAATTAATTAAGAGAATATAACAATCCTAAATGTTACAGAACCTAATAAGAGCTTTAAAGTACATGAAGCAATTGGGGCGCCTGGGTGGCTCAGATGGTTAAGTGTCTGCCTTCGGCTCAGGTCATGATCTCAGGGTCCTGGGATCGAGCCCCGCATCGGGCTCCCTGCTTGGCATGGAGCCTGCTTCTCCCTCTCCTTCTACTGTTCCCCCTGCTTGTGCTCTCTCGCTCTGTCAAATAAATAAATAAAATCTTTAACAAAAATAAAATAAAATACATGAAGCAAAAACTAATAGAAGTACAAGGAGAAATAGATGAATCCACAATTGTATTTAGGGATTTTAATACTCCTCTCTCAATAATAGATATTACAAGTAGACAGAAAATCAGGAAGTATAGGAAATACTTAAGCAACGCTATCAACCAACTTGATGCAACTGACATTGATAGGACACTCCACCCAACAACAGCATGCTTCTCAACCTTCTCAAGTGCACATGGAACACTAACCAAGATAGACCTGATTCTGGGCCACAAAATAGGTCTCAATAAGTTTAAAAGGACTCAATTCATACTGAGTATGTTCTCCAATCACAATGTAATTAAATTAGAAATTAATATCAGAAACCTCAATGGAAAATACCCAAATATCTTGAAATTAAATAACCCATGAGTCAAAGAAGAAATCAGAAAATATTTTGAACTGAATGAAAATGAAAACACATCAAGTACTTCAGAGAAAATTTATAGAACAAAAAGCCTGTATTAAAAAATAAGAAAAGGCTCAAATCAGTGACCTCAACTTCCATGTTAAGAAACTAGAAAAAGCGGGGCGCCTGGGTGGCTCAGTTGGTTAAGCGACTGCCTTCGGCTCAGGTCATGATCCTGGAGTCCC